CCTCTTTGGATTAGTATGTCAGTCAATAGAAAATGTATACACTTTAGTTATTCAATATTCTCTGTATTTTTTTTGTAGGACATTTTCAAAGATGCAATCGATAGTGGCTTGAGTACTGCCAAAGATATGGCCTACTTTGAAGGTGACTTTTGGCCTAATGTTTTAGAAGATTGCATTAAAGAACTGGATCAGGAAGAGGAAGAAAAGCGTAAAAGAGAAGAAGCTGAAGCTGCAGAAGCAGAAGCTCAAGACACAGTGGAAGAGATCAATGATACAGTTAGTATATGCATTTGAAATTAAAGGACTATTATACTAAGAAGATACTCATTCATGGTCATGCAATTTTTTATTTTTTTTAAAATTAGTGTACACTGGTGCTAGCTTGTTGCTTAGTTCTTTGTGCAATCTAGCTGGAATACCATCTAACAGCTATCAAAATCAATAATTTATTGTTTCTTTATAATTTATAGGATCTTTCTGGTAAAAAGAAGGGTGAGAAAAAGGGGCAAAGGAGTAAAAAAGCCAATAAAAGTAAGGGAAGTGCTAGGAAAAACAACCGGAAGACTAATTTACCCCAGGGTACAAGTGATCTAACTGCTAAACTCTACAATCACATGGAAAAGCATAAAGAGGTGAGTATTACTTATAAATTTTATTTAAAAAAAAAAAAATCTAAAGTAAAACTAATGAGCCATCTCAACAATAGATGAGACAGTAAAGGTTTTTCTTTAACTTGTGTAGAGTTTTTATTTAATAGATAAATACAATTTCTTGAGATTTCTAATTTATAAATGAATATCTACTACTATTTTTCTAATTTTGTCAGTGTCTCTAGAGTCTCTATGACTTTTATATACCTAATATCTTTATTTGCAGCACATAATGTTGAACTCATACAATTGTGACGATTCTACACAATTTCATGATTTTTATGTAGAAAAAATTTCTTGTCATCAGTCCCCCATTGCCCCAATTTTCTGATTAATAGCAAAAACAATTGTTCCAAGTAGATAAAAAAAATGTTTTGTCCATTTATTACAAACCTTGAACCTTTAATAATTGACCCAGTCCCTTCAAGTGCTATTGATTGTGGTATGAAATCCATTCATAATGACATCTAAATAGCATCTAAATCACAAATAATAGATACCAAGCTGCAAAATTGTCTTTAACAAGCAGCACAATGTATCAGATGAGTATAATAGACTAGTAAATCAATATTTTGTCAACAACTTATTAGATATATCTGATTTATGTAAACAAGATCATAGAAATTTCATTAAAAAATCTTCTACTACTGCAAACATTGAAGCCATGAGAATCACAAGCCTTTTGAGACCATAAAATAATTAAAATATATAATTTACTTAATAATACAGACTATTTTCAGTTTGGATACTACACACATTACTTGAAGATGTCTTATAAAAAAATTCCTCACTATAGACTGCATTACAAGATTTATACTATTTATATTACTCTCAGTAAAAGTAAGCGTACTAAAAAGAGATGTCTTCAATTATTGATTGGAAACTACCAATTTCTTACTTGTGAAGTAAATCTCAATTGGGAAAGAATTGAAATCGCTCTCATGTTTAAATTTAAAATTATATTAAATTTGAAGTGGAAGTTTATGGTTAGGCATAAAAGATGGAAAAAAACATGTATATTTTAAAACCACAATTGTGACACTTTGCCATATTATTATTATTTTCAGTTAAAGCTACATTGCACAACCAAAATAATTTAGTCTTAAATTTTTATTTTTGTGTGTGTATATTTTCAACAAGCTTAAAATAAGTTTACATATTTATTTCTCACTATCAATGTACTGGTATCATCAAAATTGAGTAATTTGATGATTACTTGAAGTTACTTTAATCACAAATCAGAAAAAAGTTTTTTTTTACAAAAGCAGCACAAAGTGGTTAATATTTTCATCAAATATTTTCCAAGTTGCGTCTTAATTTGTAAAATGTTTGAGACTTCATGATATTTATAAAATGTTTATTTCATTCTCCAGGTATTCTTTGTCATCCGGTTGCATAATCAACAGATAGCTGCTTCACTTCCACCTATAACAGAGCCTGATCCAGCCATGAGCTGTGATTTGATGGATGGACGTGATGCCTTTCTTACAACAGCCAGAGAAAAGCATTATGAATTTTCATCATTGCGTAGAGCTAAACTTTCATCATTAGCTTTATTGTATGAGTTGCATAATCAAGGAAAAGATGCTTTTGTCTACACATGCAACAGTTGCAAGGCTGCAGTGGAAACTCGTTATCATTGCAATACCTGTGATGTAAGTTTTGTAAATAGTTGAAAAATATTTTAATTACATTGATTGAATTTCTTTTATTTTAACTTTAAATAATAAACAGCTTGTCCAGTTACTCTACATGTTTGGTATGAGACAGACAGTGCAATGCTTATGATGATCTAGATGGTGTAACATACATAAATTATTCATTTAAAAAAAAATTTCAAGATCATATACAAAACATAACAATCATTCACTGACTACAGTTTTCTGATAAAGCCTTGTTTAGCTTAGCCTTGTAAACTTGAAACATTATTGAAATGATTTGATGCTCAATACTATTCTTTATTCTGCTGCTTGCTACTTAATGGGCTATTGCGGTTTCTCTTTCCTAATTATATTCACTTCACCTAACAACAATTTGGTTTAAATAAGCAAACAAATAGCTTTTGCTCTCAAATAAGCAGAATTATTCAATGAAAAGATAGTCCAGATTTAATTTTATTTGTATTCAACTTATTTTTTAAATAGTTACAGTTATGGGAAAGTATTACATAAAACTATAGAATTAATTTTTCTGGACACAATTTTGAAAAAAGTTGCGTTTGTATGCTTTTAAGTGTATCACTATGGTATGTTATACAGCTCATTATGTACTTGTTAGTTTATGAAACGGTTTGAATATTTTATCAAAACTGTTGTAATTCTGAATGATTCCTATCATAATAGTCTCTTTGTTTGAAACTGAATATTGACATGTAGTTAATTTTTTAAATCAATTTCTTTTCTTTTTTTTTCAGGACTTTGATCTGTGTATCCCTTGCTACAAGAAAGAAAGCCATTGTCATGAGATGACTAAACTAGGCTTGGGTCTTGATGAGATTTCAAGCTCAGGTAAAGAAGAGAATCCTCAAGAATCTAGGCGCAAGTCTATTCAACGTTGCATTACATCATTGGTCCACGCATGCCAGTGCAAGAATGCTAACTGTAGGATTAACTCTTGTATCAAGATGAAACGTGTTGTATCTCACACAATGAGCTGTAGGCGCAAGAGCAATAATGGCTGTCCAATCTGTAAACAGTTAATTGCTTTGTGCTGTTATCATGCCAAGCATTGTCAAGAGGCCAAATGTCCTGTGCCCTTTTGTCCTCAACTAAAACAAAAGTTAAGACAGAAGCAACTGCTCACCAATCTCCATCAAGCACAGATGCTTAGAAGACGTGTTGCCATTATGACAGGCAACACCAGTAACAATGCTACAACAATTAATGGTCCATCTAGTGTCCCAACACCAGATGCATCACCACAGCCATCCACATCAACAAATTACAATAGTGGCAGTGTTGGTAAAACTCCTGGTGGCCCACCTAGAGCAGCTATCAATGCTGCCCATGAAGCTCTGGTCCAGGCTGAGGCACAAAGAACTGGAAATGTTCCTAACATTAGCTCAATAGGTAAAGGTAAACCAACCATGCAGCCACCCACAATCAGACCTCAACCATCGACTAACTTGGTACCATCACCTTCTGTGGGAAAACCTACTCAAAGAACATGGTTCAACAGCCCACAAGCTAGGCCAGGAATGAATGCTGTCAGAATGCAAAACATGCCACCTATGCCACAACAGCAACCACCACCACAGCAACAAGCTGTTTCTACCATGGGACCTAATGTTGGAGCTGTAGCTCCAGGTCCAGGTCCAACAGGCACTGGTGTTAGTGGAAATATTGGCCCAGCAGTTCATAATATGTTACAGGCATTCAAAAACCAAAACATTTCACAGGCTGAATGGATAGCGCTTTTGAAAAAGAATCCTCAATTGATGGCCCAAGTTCTGAAACTTAAAAATGCCAAAGTACAACAACAACAGCAGCAGCAACAACAACAACAGCAGCAGCAACAACAACAGCAGCAGCAGCAGCAACAACCAATTATGGGCATGCCCAATATGGTTCAGCAAATGTCTCAACAACAAGTTGGGCAAATGCAACAGCAACAAATGCGAATGAATCAAATCATGCCACAACAATATCGACAACAACCACTCCAGCCACCACAAACATCTCAGATCACACCCTTTGCTCAGCCCCATAATTCTTTCCCGCAAAGACCTAGAACAAATTTTCAGCAATCTTTTCAAAATGATGGAAGTCACATGCAACTTTATCCCCAACAGCACATGATTCATCACCAGGCCCAACTCAAGCAACAAATGGTTGGTGGTCAGCCTATGAGTCCAACATATATGCTCTCTCCTCAAGGTAATCCCAATTCTCAACAAATGCTTCAGCAAGTACGTTCTCCTCCAGCTTCAGCTGCAAGCTTATCTCAGACTGTTAGATCCCCACAGCCCACACCTTCTCCAAGACAGCCCATTCCTTCCCCACGTCAGCTCCAGCAATCACCTCATCACAATATGGTCAGCAATGCTTCTCCTCACCATGTTCTGGGAGTAGGCCAGGATGCTTCACAGATGACTACTGATCATGTTATGCTGTCATTACAAACTCATAATTCCATGTCGCAAATGCCAAATTCAGATGTTAACATGGGGCAACAGGACAATGAGGTTGCTCCTCTTACACCCCAGGACCAATTAGTTCATTTTGTGAACCAGATGTAATTAGCCCAGCTCCTCCTTCCCTTGTAAATACAAATTATTTTAACATTTCATGTGAATAATCATCTAGTAACTTATCATCAAGAACATTTTTTTGTATTTGATTATTGTACAGCCTTTTTTTTTTTTTTTTTTTCTGAACAAATGTGATCAATGTTGTTTTCCATTCAAGAGTTGTTTTATATTTTTTACAGATATTGTCTATTTGTGTATGTTTGTTGGTTGAGATTATTGTTGCTGTAAATTTTCAGTCCTGCTTAGATACAAATTAGTAATCATCAAATCACAAGACTAGTTCTTTGTAAATACAAATTATTGCGTAAATAGGTGCCCAATAAGAATACATATTATTTTTATTTTGAATTGTTCTACTGTAAGATATTTGTTTACATTCTTTTTGACACAGATCTTACCCAATGAATAGTCTTGAATTAGAGACAGAACTCTGTGATTCTTAATAATGGGGGCAATTATGTTTACTGACAACCCTCGGCTGGCCTGAGCTAAAGGTTAAAAACAAAATTGCTGCAGGTGATACATTAAAAACTGTTGTATTTGCAAAATATATTAAGATTTACCATTGTTCAAGCATTTGAACCAGTTTTAAGACTGCAGGATTTTTCTTTAACTTTTTATATGATGGAGATCCTATAAATTATTTCAGAATGCTTCTTAATAGGTTGGTCATTTTATTTTTCAATTTAGTGTATGCTTATTATTAGTCTAAAGAAGTCATTTATTTAAAAAAAAAAAAAAAAAGAGCAAATTTGTATTTCATCTTATAGCTGAAACAGAGTTAATATATTACTATTTTTCTGTCTTTTTAGTGTTCCAAGTCCAACAGTAGATGATAAAGTTAATCTATTCAAACAAATCTTTTCTTGGTGCTGTGTAAACACTGGTCATTCAATGAAAACTTGCTTCAGTGTAATGTAAAAAAAATAAAATGTTTGCGAATTATTTTCAAAACACTTATTTGAACATTTGTAAAATTTCCTTTTCCACTTCAATTCTTCAGTGCAGAGCTTTGTGTACTTATGTTGAGATCTATTTATTACTCATTGATCATTTTGCAACTCCATCTAGTGCATCAGTCAATTTTGAATCAAACAAGTCAATTTCTAAGATATTTATTTTTGTCAAGAGTATGTCATTTTACATAGTAAAACAATAGTGTACATCTTTAGATGGCTTGGATTAAATGGAGAAAATCATTTCACTTTGCATTTTTTGAATACTATTCATTTGATTAGATTAAGCTGATATTTTAGGGTAATGATGCTCATGTTTGGTTCCTGTCAGTAGTATTTGTCAGAGTAGTTCATTTTTAAAGACCAGTAGGATAATTGTACTTACTGAGACAGGCAAAGAAAGTAGTGCTCAATGGCTAACCATTTGTCTATGCAAGTATCTTTTTGTTGAAAACTGAGCTGAAGTCTGAACCATTGAACACATGACCATTGATCTCATGTAGCAACCTTTTTTTTTTTTTTTTTTTTTGTTTGCTTGGTCCAAAAGCCTTGTTTCTATTTTGTAAATATAGCCATCTTTCAAAAAAAGTAATTTATTTTCTTCTTTGGTTTCATCTTTTTGTTGCCCCAACATCTTTGGACATTTTCTACACTCCTAGAAAGGAAACAACAAACCAACATATCTTTGAATCTGATGGTCTGTACCCAAAAACATATCTTGCAATAAATACATTTTGTTTGTTTTGGTTGTTTTTCTTCTTTCTTGATTACTTTTGTACATCATTATATGGTCACATGTTGGTCTGAAGCTTGTTCCTATCATGAGAATTTCTAGTTTGTCCATTACATATTGTTTGTGTTTTGGGGGATTTTTTTTTTGTCACTACAACGATACTTGTTAACCTAGAAAGCTGATAGCATGGTGCTATTTGGCTCAACTCCTTTACTATGGAATCACAAGAATTGAGTAACCTTTTGTTTTATATTAGTAATTTTTGAAATCAGCAACAAAATGAAATTGTTCCATTCTGAAACTGTAAAGATGATTACAGGATACAGAGAATATTAGTGCCTTAAACCAAGTGTTAGGTTTAGCTAAAGTTTCCTAGTTCTATTAAAAATAGTCTGTAGAAAAGAATCTTAACAAAACTGAAAGAACTTAGGTTCATAGTGAGATGACTACATAGTATTAATTATATGTCTACATATATTGGCTACTCCCCCCTTTTGTAGTTGAACTGAATGGTTTTATTTATTCTGTGCTATTATTAGTTAATAAGCATAATAAATGCAGTGCATTAGTTTTGCTCCAGACATTCTGATGAAATAAACCCAGTTTCCCATATTGGTGGTACAAGACATGTAAAAATCGTGTACATAGTGTGTGTTTAAGTTTAGTATTATTTTTATTTGTAATACTATTTGAATCTATTCTTTGCCAGCCGAGGGAGGAGGTGTATGTTTTGAACGTCACCATGTAGTATTTATTACTGCTAGCTCCATAATTCATTTGTTGTTAAATGAACTCTCTCCCGCGCGTGGCCCTGACTTCCTGTTCACCAGCACTTGGAGCAACAAACAGCATTTTGTTCATTGTGTGATTAGAGTGAGTGCTAAAAGGAACTTTTGCAGCTAGTTTTGTATGAGTGTGTACAGGTGTGTGTATAGTCTTACTGCGATAACATTAAGAGTAATATGATTTCATAAACATGCTGTAAATAATAAAACTTGTCAGAAATTTGCTTTGGTATTTCCTGTTGTTTTTTTAATGTTGAAGTTATCCATTGTTTTTGTGTGGGTTTATTTGGTGAAAGGAACAGCAAAATAAAGCTCTTATAATGAACATTCAGAAGTAATGGGATATCAGCTGCCTGTCAGACCAATGCATTAAATGTGTACATCCTAATCTTTCAGTTACATCACACAAGGTTTGTAGGCTGTATCTGCAGTATCAGTATGGAGCACGTCCAATTTCATAACATTAGTTGATTTGGTGGCCTCATAGATTGTTTCCCTTCTTACGCAGGTATCTGAAGGATTCAACAGAGCAGAAAGTGCTTAAATAAGTAACACACTTTTTAAAACTAATAGTGGACTGCCTGGTCGTGCGCTATTACTACTATACTGTCGTTCGATGGTCCCAGGTTCATACCCTGCCTGTTGCCATCCCACGTTGTCCTGCGGGAGGCTTGGACCAGGAAGTAAATGACCTGAAGGAATATCCGAAACATGTCAAACATTTTACAAACATTAATACTAAAAGTCAATTTAAAATATTTTTATTCAAAAGTACTTGTACATTGTGTACACAAATGTTCACATCTCAGCCATGAACTCGTTCACAATACAATGTACATGTTTGCTCTACATACAAACTACTGAACAATTCAATGATTATATCGTGTACTTGTAGTTACACTGAGAAAGCAGCTTTCACTTTCATATAGAAAGTACATTTGGTATTGTAATACTAATAGCTAGCATGCGGCTCCAATCTAAAAACAAAATTATTGCTTTGCTAGTTTTGTTTCTAAGGTAACTAAATTTGCGTTTTAAAAACGTAAGTACTGCTATAAAAGCATGTCCCCGAAGCAAAGTTCTCGTTTATATAGCGCAGTTTTAATGCTTATAGCATGCTCAATGCGTTATTGTCTAATCTCTATTGTGGACCATTACAAGGAGGGGGGTATTTGGGAGAAGGTTTTCCGCGCTGTCTTTGAGCGTTCAGTAAACACAACGCTACTCGTGTTGGGTGTCGAGCTCCGCCGCCTTGAGGTAGCCAGGCAGTTTAAGCCTCTCAAGCCTATTCTATATGAACACTTTTCAGAACAAAAGCATGGTTAGATTGGTTTCTCTCCCACCCATCAGATCATTTGACTATAAGTTTAGTGTATTAACCTGATTACTAAAGGTTTGTACAGGCTTATAATGCAATCCCGGTACCCAATATTGTCACACAGAGAATACCACGCACAACAACTTTCATGTGATTTAGCCAACTCCAGATGTTTCGATACAAAGCCTTGTAGTAAGTGTCATATCTGAACGACTTGCAATCTCTTAGCGCATTACGAACACATGCTTTAAGTTACCAGTTCACCCTTTTTTTTTTTTTGGTTAAACGACCAGATCTTTGCCAACCAATTCATCGAAGGAAGCGTCCTCTTGATTTAAAACGTAACTGCCAGACGTGCTACTGCGGTCATCGTCTGCAGACAAGTGTGACCGCGTGAAAGTGCCCATCGGACTCATCGCCTGCGTCTGCCCACTGTGAGCTGCAATGTGTTGAGGCCCTTGGGCATGGAAATGTCCTTGTCGATGACCAAAAGATGAGTTTTGAAACACGGCACTGGAAGTCGGGCAGACGGCGTCCAGGTGTGATTGTGGGCCCTGATGGGGTGAGTGACTGGGCAAGTAAGGAGGCGATGAAGTGTGGTTATATAACACTGGGACATTCTGCGGTTTGATTAAAGACGTTACTGAATACTGGGTGAAGTCATTCATGTCACCTCTCTGATGATTTCCAATTGCCCCAGGTGAGTGATACAGAGGTCGCCGCTGTCCTAGAATGTAAAAGGATAAAAGAAATGGCATTAAGATGATTCTATTTAGTAGTACCGGTAGTTAATGAAAAAAAGAACATTTTAAAAATATATATTTCAAAAAGAAAATGCCTCCGTTATTACACTTTTAATATAATGAAAAAATGTATTTTAAAAATGTTTGATTCAATTCGTGTATCGAACACGTGACACCGTCAGCTTCTAGAACTTACGCTTTTTCCGATTCGGCCATTGAGGAAGACATACTTGTGTGATTATTTATTGGTATGTTCATTATATGGACATCTAGATCTAACACTAGACCTAAGGATCTGATTTAGAACTTTTTAAGATCTCGTCTAGATCTAGAATCTATTTGTAGGCTATTAGATTTACGTAAAAATATTAGCAACGCTTATACACTCCAATAAAATTGAATCAACTTTAAATTTACTTACTTATCGCATAATTACTGTAATACGGCTAACTGCGCCATGTTAGCTCTAGACCTAGATTTATTCTCTAGACAAATTTACGTTTATTTATTTTTATTTTTGGAACAATTGTAACGGTCACACAAGAGTTTTCCTCGTGTGGCCAACGAGCTGGTCATTCTTTTCTCAGCGATATACATCAACTGTTACATTTCTAAGGAAATCGTTAGAGCCGTTTTTGAGATCAGCTGTCGCCCAACCACCCAGCCTCCAGGTTTCTTCATGAAGGAGTGACTTGTAAAAAAACAACGACAAAACAAAAAAAAAAAACAAAAAAAAAAAATTAAACTAGAAATAATATACAAGTTTCTAAACAAAAACTGTTGTTTTTTTGTGTGTGTTTTTAAAAAAATTATAATGATTTTTCACACTGAACCTGGGAGTGCAAACACAGCCTCCAGTGGGCTACCACAGTTCTGCTCTAGCGAGTGTACGTGCACGTGGCGGGGATGGAAGAAAGGCTTGCTAACCCGTCCGTATCCAGTGCATCATTCCCCAGCGGGGTCCATACAGGTGGTGATTGCCCCCCCCCCCCTTCCACGGAACGCAATGGTACATTATATGAATATCAAGTATCCCCTCGTGGGTTCGGCCTTCGGCCTCGCATGGGATGGGGGAACCCATTGCATTGGCTCAAGGGACTGTGACCCATAAACAAACGGATGTGAACATCTCGTTGATGCTGGCCTCCAGACAGAAGGGTCGGTGAAGAGCTAATCATTCTGGCCAGGGGATACAATACTTAGGCCTACCCGGGTCAAAGGCTCATAAAAGGGATTTACAACAAACCTTTTGGACATCTCAACGTTTCATTATGCACTACAAGGCGGCTAAAAATGCATGGCGGAGATACAATAAAATGTTTCATGAAAATGATTTTAACAGATCCTGTAGCGAAAACAGTATACAAATTTCTACTCCCAAGACGAAAACAAGAAAGTGTTCAATTTAAACAATATTTTTAAACATGTTTAAAAGAATGAAAGACACGGAAGAATGAAATACCAATCTATAACGACATCACTGATTCAAAAAAATAATATTCCCTTGAAATAATTTGAGCGACTGGCTGGGAGCGTTCCTCAGATTTTATTAAAACATTTTCTCTTTCTCTCTCTCTAAGTTTAAATGCTCAAATGCTTATGATTATTTTCGTGAAATAAGAAATAACATCTTGATGGAATGGCCGATAATCCATGGTGAACGATTAAAGAGACTGAGCTAACATGGTACAATTTTTTATTTGATGATCTTATCCCCCCCCCCCACCCATTTTTTTCCCCTGCCCTATCAAACCAATCTGTCCTACCTCTGGTGGCCAGGTACGAGTCAAACTTATTGTCTTCGTCACTCGTACCTTTCCCGCTGTCACTGGGAGCCGAGTCCAGCGAGGCATCACTGTCGTCTGCCTGAAGATAGATTGTGGAAATTAGATTAAAATGGATGGAGGAAATTAAAAAAAAGCGGCAGGTCAATCTATTTGTTGGAGATAATGGAAATCAAACTGAAAAAAGCCAACTGGTAAGCGTTAAGCAACACGCAGATTGTGCCTCCTCTCCCTACTTCTTCCAATCGCCGCCCCATGATTCCCTCTAACCTTACAATACATCCCCTCTAACCTTACAATACATCTCCTCTAACCTTACAATACATCTCCTCTAACCTTACAATACATCCCCTCTAACCTTACAATACATCTCCTCTAACCTTACATTACATCCCCTCTAACCTTACAATACATCTCCTCTAACCTTACATTACACCCCCCTGTAACCTTACATTACATCCCCTCTAACCTTACATTACATCCCCTCTACCGAAAAGTCTCGAGTTCTAGATTTTGAACTTCTGGGTTTTTGGGACGCCCCTGAGTTCGACCAACTCTAATGGGTATATGACATACGTTGAGGAAGTAAAACGGTCGTTGTACTAGCTATATGAAACCCTTGTTTCCACAGAAACAGATCATCTGCCCCATAGATCTCAGGCCACAGAAACAGATTATCTGCCCCATAGATCTCAGGCCACAGAAACAGATCATCTGCCCCATAGATCTCAGGCCACAGAAACAGATCATCTGCCCCATAGATCTCAGGCCACAGTAACAGCTCTTCTGCCACCATAGATAGGTCTGAGAGGGGTACCCTACACAATGATTATTAAAAAAAAGATTACTAAGAGAATTAGCCCGTTGTTTGGTCAGCAGGTAAAAAGGCAGCATGAATATCAGCATGAAAATCAGAACTTCAAACTATCAATAACCAAAAAAAAAACAAAACAAAACAAAAACTTTAACCTTCCAGACCAAGTGTACATTTAAAGCATGATAGGTCACACCTATTGCTTATCGCCTGTCTGAACAGGGTCAACGTGAGCATTGCTGACAAACATCAGGTGAATGTAATCTTTTCCCGCCTTTAACGTGGCACTTTGTAGACATGTCCATAGGAATATAAGACTAGGAGAACAGAGAATGCTGTGGTGGTGACATTCTTACTGTCAGTAGCGGTACGAATGACTTCCTCGTTGGAATCGGCCACCAGAATCTCCACGTAAAGGGAACCAGACAGTGGCTCAAAGAGGAGTGACCCCGAAAAATCTAGTTCCTGGCTCGTGGAGAAATAATTTCGATCCATGGTGTCCATGACCTTTGGTTCTACTCTCTAACTGCTGAATAAATAGAACTACCAGTAAGTCAAGACATAC